GCTGGGGTGAGATTTTTATTTCACAAATAAGAAAGCTTACACATTTTGAAAATTAAAATAAATAGAAATTCTAAATTCTAAATACTTTCAACCAGCACAGAATGTAATGTTAATACTATAACTATTTTAGCTATTTTCTATAAGTTATTTGATGGCACTATTTTCTTTAACGTCCAATTTCACTTAATCTTCCGATCTTTCTGCTCTGCATCTCCAATAGATTTGCTTAAGGCTGACTTTTATCATTCTTTCCTTTAAATTGCTCTATATCTCATGGATCAAACTCTACAGAGCTAAAGAACTTTTTCTACAGAGTTGGATAATTAATCTTATTTTGGTGTTCACTTTTGATTTTTCTTCTGTCAAAGTCTGGGTTTTCCTTTGTTTTCTAAAATAGATTTTTAAATATTCCTTCGTTTTCTCTGACCCTTCCCTCCTTCTGATTCTGGGCTGCATCTGAACAGATAAAAGCAGATTTTGCATTCAAATCCTCCAGTTCTTTTTTTTTTCTCTTTAAACATTTTATTAATTATAGAATAAAATACAAAAATACAAAATCAAAAAGGAAGAGACGGGGGGAGGGAGAAGGGGTAAGAGAAATGAGGAGGGAGGGAGAAAAGAAAACAAAAACGCTGATTTCAGACTTCCTCTGTTGCAGTAAAATAAAGCATTAAAACTGAACATCAACTTTTTACTTTTCTGTAATAATATAAAGGGTTTCGTAAAAGAAAGCAGATTTTGCATTCAAATCCTCCAGTTCTCAGGGAAGACAAAAAATCCCTCCTCTCTTTCTCTTTAGTGGCTGCTTCTATTCCTGCCTCCTTTTGACAACCCACTACCAATCAAATGAGGGGAAGGGATGGTTGCCTGGGAGCTTCCCTGCCCTCAGCCTGATGGAGAAGAGGCGGAAGAAGCCAAGCCAAAGTGTGTGTGTGGGGGGGTCAAATAAAGAGCAAAATTTGGGCGGGATGAGAAAGGGGCAAAATCTCCCAGAATTGCAGAGGGAGGGGGGCTTAAGTCCCTTCCCCAGAAAAGGCTGCAATGAGGAGAGTCTCCTCAGCTGGGGGCTCTGGAGCAGCGGTAGTCTGCAAGAAAATTTTAATGGTCTGCAGAAAAATTATTTGCGTTCCTCAAACGATGGCCCCTGGGCCGGAGACGTGCAATTAACATTTGTCTTGTAACCAGCAGGGGCACTACATCAATCCCTGCAAACTCCGTCTCTTGAGCCTGGCCGAAGTTTCACGTGCTGCTCTCTGAAGTGCCCAGAGTCCCAGTGATGGGATGGGGTCTTTCAGGCCTCCTGTTTAGTAGCTCCAGCCCCTCCCTCCCTCCCTGGGAATCCAGGTGCTTCAATGAGCGGCAGGCGAAACTCCTGCCGCCCAGGAGGAGAAGAGTGCGCCAGAGCCCAAACGTTGGGCCTCGCTGGCCTCAGAAGCCAGGGATCCTGCAGGCATTCCAGCCATGTAAAGGTTGCCCAAATCCCCGGGTTGTTCACTCCACTCGCCTGCCCTCCCAATGCACCTGGGCCTGCGGAGGGTATTGCAGAAGCTGCATTCACCCAACAGGCGTGACCAGGGCATTTGCGTGCTAAACTTAGTTGGTGTTGTGGCTGGTGTCCAGCTAGGACCCCCCCCTCCCTCCCCACCAGGGCTGTGGAAGACCTTGAAGGAGTAGCACTCTTTCTTCCTTTGCAGACTCTGGAAGGGGCGGAAACCTCAGCGGAGATCGCAGCAGGCAGAGTGGAGAGGAGCGCAGGTGGCTTTAGTTGCAAGTGTGAAAGCTCCTATGCGTGGATGGGAATGTTGCTGCGCCAGGCACGCCTCCTTCCCCTGGGCTGGTCATCCAGGCAAGCCAGTGCACCTGGGTGGAGGAGCTGTTCCGGGACGACCAATGGGCCAGTCCTGTGACTAGTATGGGACCGACTTTCCCACAGACATCAACAAGCTACCGTCAGTCTGCCTGTTTTCTTTTTTCCTTCACTCACATCGACCACAAAGCTTCTCCTTGAGAGAAGGAACACAAAAGAGGTTGCTGGAAGGCTGTGTGCCCAGACCAGATGCTTCATCTCGGGCCTCTCACCCGATGGCCTGACAGAAGCAGAGACGGGCAGGAGGCCGAGAGAAAGCACCTGGTCCAGACACACAGTCTCAAGCTAGGTTGACGTCCCCCTGCATCGATCCAGCAGACAAAAAAGGAAAGGCGGGTAGAGAGAAACAGTCCAGTTGTCAAAGTATGCCTGAGTGAGAGGCCAGCAAACCGGAGAGCCTCTTCCCTGTCTTCCCAGGAGCCTGGGACTTCTCGCAACCGGCCCCTGAGCTCCCTTGCAGTTTGTTCTGCTGCTGCTGAGGATGGGCTGCAGCAATCCCACCGTGGCCCACACCAGCTCCTTGCAGTCCCCCATGCCGGGATGGCTGCAGAGACTCTCCCCCTTCCAGGTCTTTTTGTGTGGGTCAGAGGGGGGCAGAAATTCCAACTTGGGGTCTGCTTCAGCCTCCTGATGCGGGGCGTTGGGCAAAGGCTGGAGGGAAGGGCTGCTGGTGGCAAAGAGCTGGAGGACCTTGTTCCAGTGGGACAGCATCATGGTCTGGAACTGGCTGACCATCTCAGCCCACTGAGCCCCCAGGTGCCAGTACCTGGCCTTGCACTCCCGCAGGTCTTCCCTCTGCTTGGAAAGCCTATGCTCATAGCCCTCAATGAGGTGTGTCTGCTGAGCCTCCTTCTCAGTCAGATCCAGTTTGAACTGAGCTGTTTTGCCAACTCCTTTCTCATGGTGCCTGCTTAGCTCCAACATCTGCTTCCTGTTGGGGCCCTAAGGAGCCTGGGGGGGGAGGCAAGGAGTGGCTGGGAGGGACGGCTGAGTAGAGGCCAGCGAGACACCCCTCAAGATGAGTGACATTGAGTTGGCCACACCCACCCAGCCACATGACCACCTAGCCATGCCCACCCAGTTGGTCATTAGGCAGATCATATTAGTGGTCCGCGGGATTTAAAATTATGACTTTAGTGGTCCCTGAGGTCCAAAAGGTTGGTGACCCCTGCTCTGGAGGGTCTGGAGTGGGCACGGGGAGCCCCATCTTCCTCAGAGTCACGGAGGGTCCCCTCCAGGGAGAGGCCGGCTGCCTTTTCCCCCAGGGCAACCCCGGATCCCCCTCGGAAGACCCAGCCCTGCATTGCTTCTCCCCCACAGGAGCCTCTCCTGGAAAGACATGGAGCCCAAGAGAGGCTGGAGAAACCCCGGGGGCTGCGTCCCCCCCCCAACATTCAACCCTGGGACCCATAAACCAGGTTAGTCTCTTCCCAGGAATGCCCCAGATCCCCTCCTCCTCCCTGGCCATCTTGGGCCTTCTCTGTGGGTCTGGGCTTTGCTTTCCCCTGAATGCCCCATGCATGGAAAGAGGTGGCTGAGCAACATGGGATATGGTCTCTCCCATTTCCAGGACTCAGAAGATGGAACCTGGAGGGGGATTTTGCAGATCTGCTTCCCTTCCCCACCACCAGGCTCTCCAGCTTCCTTCTCCCAAGAGGGGCTCCCCACTCAGCCGGGCAGAGTCTCCTATCTGGCATCCCTGCAAGAGCCCCCTTGCCTGGCCTGTGCATGGGAAAGGGTGGCAGGGGAACATGGGATATGGACTTCTTCATTCCCAGGTCTCTGAAGATGGAAGTCGGATTTTGCAGATCAGCTTTTTCATCTTTGCAGATGAACATGAGAATCCCTCCCTTCCTCCCTTCCTTCTAGTGAGAGGCAGCCTTGATTTCTCCATCTCTTATAACTTGGCTTTCTCTAACTTCTCTCTCTCTCTCTGTCTCTGTCTCTCTGTTTGTATGTGGATGTGATTTTTTTAACCCTACTTTTTCACGAAAGCTGATTTTGTTCTTAGAAACTGGCCACATTATTGCATCAGCTCTTTTGTGCGATGCCCTTGAGCATTAGCTTTCAACATAAAGTAAATTTTGGTTCCAACTCAGCTGGCAGATATTTCAGATCTGTGACATACTCTGGCATTAACTGGCCTCTGGGATTTTCTCTTTAATCACTATGCAAACAAATATCAGGTTTCTTTTTTCTTAAGCCACAGGTGCCGTGTTTTCCCTCTGGGGCCAATTTGAAGCATGGAGACTCCAAACCTCTCAATTCTAGATGACCGATTTAATTCCATCTCTGCCCCTGTTATTATGAATCACATGGAGATTATTTCCCTTTCATTTCCCTCCAGAGAATTTCCCGACAATCTCCAAGTCCAAGAACTACTTGAATTATCCAGGGATCTCTCCTGATAGGGAGAATTATGATATAAGTTTCAGCTCTGTTCTTTGGCTGAATCCTCCAGGGGAGACTTTGGGCAGAGAAATATGGAGGTTTGGGACAGGCAGGATCTGTGCTCTTGAATGTACGTCTCTTTCTTTTCCAGATGAAGCTGAGTGTTTCTCTGTGTTGAGAAAAAGCAACTGGATGTTCCACCTTGTTTCTTTGATTCTTCTACTTCTTCTTTAGAAACAGGAAAAGGATTCATTGATTCACCCCATGAATTATGGACCTCCTGCTTCTGCCTCTGATGCTGCTTTTGTCCCATCCAGTCTCTGGGAAGCTGAGAATGAAATGCCCACTGAGTTTGGAGAACCAGGATGGAAAACAACGACAGAGCTTTTACAGCCCAGGAGACCATCTCATTGGTATAGTCTTCAGTGGAAAGGAAAGATTGCATACAAAGTTGCTTTTCAACATGGATCCTTCTCTTCAGTTTGTTTTCCATGATTGGTAAGTCATTCAGGGTGATGGAGTTGCACTCCCTCCATTCTAACACTCTCCTTCTTTTCAGTTTTTTATTTTTCATTTCTTCCTATATTGGGGAATATGTCTAATTTCCTGAATGATTTTGATTTCCATGGCTTCTCTCTCTGGTCTGATTTTGTGAAAGAGACTCAAATCCAAAAAGGGGTCTGAAAAAAAGGTGAAAGGACTCCAGTTTATTCTCTGCTCTCAGTTCAATCCTTAATTTATCACTTGTGTTAAGTTGGGCGATTGAGGAGGCAGAAGCAAGGTAGTGACAACATCTCTTTAATGTATAATGAGGCTTCAGCAAAAGTTACAGGCAAACAGCTCTCCTTATATACCCGGCCGGCCGGGGAGCTGACCAATCACAATTGACCTATTGTAGTTTAAATCTCCCGCCAAAACTTATATATATAACACCCTTCCCCTCCCAGAAGGCACTTAGTCTATACATTTGCATACAAAATCGCGCAGGTGACCAGGGCGTGTCCGGGCCCTAGTTGACCTGTGCAGTTCAGTCTGAGGCGTGGCCTCGAGCCGGTCGGAGGGACCTTTTGTTTCTCCCGGCTCCGCCAATGGAACCTCCTGGATCTCGTCGGAGGCGTTGATGTCCTCGGCTGGGAGTGGTGTCTCGCTAGGGTGGTGTTGGATCCTGGAGTTTGCAGCTAAGTTTTCTGACATTCTCGGGCTTGAGCTAGCTGTTGTAGGAAAACTTGGGTAATCAGGGCTTGGCATTTCTGAGTACACTTCTGGCTGTCCAGCCAACCTTTTTCTGAGTTGATCAATGTGCCTACGCCAGATCCTCCCATCTCCCACGTCTACTGTATATGATTTTGGTCCCTTGATTTCAGAAATCACTCCGGCTACCCATAGGGGCCCCCCTGAGTAATTCCTTGCGAACACTGGTGTCCCTATCTTAAACTCCTGTAACTTCTGGTCAGCTCCTCTAAATCCATTCGGGGAGTAGTTGGGGTGTAATCGGTCCAAGGTACACCTGAGCTTCCTACCCATGAGGAGTTTGGCTGGACTGCGCCTGTACAAGGGGTGGTGTGTTGGGCTGTTAAGAACTTGTCTATTCGGGCCTGCCAGTCTCCCGCATCCAGCCATGCCAGTGCCTCTTTGGCCATTCTCACAAATCTTTCAGCCAGTCCATTACTGGCCGGATGAAACAGGGCCGAGAGTTTTTTGTTTTTTTTTTTAATTTGATTTATATGCCGCCCTTCTCCGGAGACTCAGGGCGGCTTACAATGCATTAAGCAATAGCCTTCATACTTTTGTATATTTATACAAAGTCAGCTTATTGCCCCCACAAACTGGGTCCTCATTTAACCTACCTTAGAAAGGATGGAAGGCTGAGTCAACCTTGAGCCTTGGAGAGATTCGAACCAGCAGTAAATTGCAGGCAGCTGTGTTAATAACAGGGTGCTTTAAACCACTGTAGTACCAAGGCTGAGTGTGTGTTGGATGCCTAATTCTGCCAGGTACCCCTCGAATTGGGTGGCGGTGAATTGGGCCCGTTATCCGATACAAGGGTATCAGGCAATCTGTGGGTGGCAAAGAGTTTCCGGAGTACTTTTATGACCTCCTTGGCAGTCGTGGATTGCATGAGGATGATCTCGAGCATTTTAAAAAGGCATCGACGATCACCAAAAATGTTTGTCCATGAAATGGGCCTGCAAAATCTATGTTTAACCTTGACCAGGACCCCTGGGGACTCTCCCATTCCCTGACCAGTGCTGTGGGGGGATCTGGCCTGGATTCTTGACAGGGGTTACACTTCCCCACCCACTCGGTGATGATGTTATCCATTTGGGGCCACCATACATTGCTTCTAGCTAGACCCTTCATTCGTACAATTCCGGGGTGCCCTTCATGTAACATTCTTAAGACTTTTTCCCTTAAGCATAAGGGCACAATGATGCGGTCACCCCATAACAAACACCCCCCTTGCATAGACAGTTCGTTCTTTTTGCTAGCAAATGCTTTGAATTCCCCGCCCTCAGTCTTTGCCGGCCAACCCCTCATGACCCAACCCATTACAGTCCTTAACACGTGATCTTTAGTGGAGGCTCTCGCCACTTCCGTGGACGTGAGAGGCCCTGAGTCCAAAACATCAATCAGGAGTACTGGTGCCTCCGGAGTTGGGTCTTCTAGGAGGTCTGGTAACGGACAGCGGCTGAGGGCATCAGCGTGCCCCAAACTTAGTCTCGGGCGGTGGACAAGTTGGTAGGAGTAAGCTGCCAGGAAGATGGTCCACCGTGTTATGTGTGGAGACAAGGCAGAGGGTGTGGGCCGATCCCCAGCCAGGAGGCCTAAAAGAGGTCGATGGTCTGTGACCAGTTCAAAGTGTCATCCAAATAGGTATTCATGAAATTTTTTGACCCCCGAGACGGCTGCGAGGGCTTCTCTGTCCAGCGGCTGTAATTCCGTTCCACACTGGACAGGGTTTGTGAGTAATAGGCAATGGGTGCCTCTAGCCTATTCAGTAGCCTATGGCTCAAGACAGCTCCCATGCCAAAAGGGGATGCGTCGCAGACTAAGACCAGTGGTAGTGTCACATTATACTGAATCAGGAAACTGTCTGCAGATAAGAGTTTTTTCACTGCGTTGAATGCAGCAGCTTCAACATCCCTCCAGACCCAAGGTGCATTTTTGGCCAGTAACCGGTGTAGTGGTTCGGTGACCATTGCCTTGTCTCTCAGGAAGATGGCATAAAAGTTGAGGAGGCCCAAGAAATCCTGTAGCTCCGATTTGTTTTTTGGTGTGGGCGCATTTTGGATGGCCCTTATTTTGCTCTCGGTGGGGTGTATTCCCAATCCGTCCACCTGGTACCCCAGGAATTCCACAGAGGGGACTGCAATCATACACTTGTTTCATTTTACGCGAAGTCCAGCCTCCCTGAATTTCGCCAAAACCCACCTGAGTCTGTCCCCTAGCTGCTTCTCGTCTGTTGCACTAATGAGTACATCATCAAAGTAGGGCACTACCCCTGGCAGTCCCTGTAACAAACGCTCCATGGTACTTTGAAAAAGTCCGGGGACTATGCTGACTCCGAATTGAAGTCTGGTGCATTTGAATGCACCTCTGTGGGTGACTATAGTCTGTGCTTCCGCGGTAGCGCCATCTACCAGTAGTTGCTGATACGCCTGTGCAAGATCGAGTTTTGCGAAGATCTTGCCAGGGCCCAGTGAATGGAGCAAATGATGCACAATTGGGACACGGTATGCGCTCTGCTGAAGAGCCTTATTTAATGTGCATTTGTAGTCCCTGCAGATGCGCACAGACCCATCTGATTTGACCGGAGTCACTATTGGGGTCTCCCACTTGGCGTGGTCTACTGGGACTAACACTCCTTGCTTGATTAGTTCATCCAATTCCAAGTCAATTTTGGGCTTGAGCGCAAAGGGCACTTGTCTAGCCTTCAATTTGATCGGGGTCTAGGTTAAATGAAATAGGGGTCCCCATGTACTTGCCCAGCTGGTCGTCGAAGATGTCCTGAAACTCCTGCATGAGGTCATCCTTCAGGGTGCTGCCACTAGTGGTGTGGATGCCGGTGAATCCCATTCCTAGGGCCTTGAACCAATCCAGCCCTAGGAGGCTTGGTAGGGTTTCGCTGACCACAGTGAGGGGCAGCTCCTTCTGGTATTCGCCATACATGACCTGGAATGTGTCTACTCCTACCACAGGGATGCTGTTCCCCTGGTAGTCTCGAAGTCGAATTTGCTGGATCTGGAGCCAGCTCTTCTTGATGCTGGGGAATGCGGTCTTCAGGGTGGTCCAGGACATGATGGACAGGGATGATCCGGTGTCGATCTCCATCTCGCAGGGTTGTCCTTCGATCTCGACCATTGTGTGGACCTTCTTCTCAATGGTCGCGCTGGCCTGGGCGATCCTGGTGCTGCAGGTCTCGGGGCTTTGAAATTTGCGCCTTTTCCTCTGGTCGCCATCTTTACTGGTCCGCTTGTGCCACGCCAGCTCTGATTGGCTGAAATTGTCCTGGGGCTTGTGGTTGACTGGTAGGCTTGCTCTGCAGACTCTCGCCAAATGCCCCTTCTTCTCGCAACGCCTACAGATGGCATCCCTGAATTTACAGGTTTGTCTCTGGTGTGCCCCGCCGCAGCTCGAACAGCTTCTGCATTGCTCCTTCTGCTCCCGCATTTGTCTCTCAGTTTGGAAGATGTCCTCCTCTGACTCTTCCTTGCTGCTGGTCTGGGTCGCTTCTCGGTGTACCGGTGCCGACCTCCGGTCTCCTTTCGGGTTGACTGGTCATTGCAGTATCTCCACAGCCTTGGTCGAAGACTTTGTGTGCTCTGGCCTCATCGAGAGTGATGGGTAGAGTCAGATTCTGCCTCGCGAGCAAGCTTTTCTGTAAGCGTATATCTCTTACGCCACAGATTAGTTGCTCTAGGAGCACATCATTGAGGTCCCGGTACTCGCAGTGCATTGCAGCCTTACACAGGGCAGCCATGTATGCGCTGATTGGCTCTCCTTCACGCTGAACTCATTGCCGGAGCTTGTAGCACTGCACGAACTTTGATGGGACCGGGGCGTAGTGTTCCTTGAGTATGGCTTGTAGCACTTCCCACGGGATGGTCTGGACCAGGGTCGGTTCCGAGAGTGACTCCACCATGTCGAAGACCTCCGGTCCACACTGGCTCAGGAACAGGGCCCTCTTTCGGTTCCCAGGGAGACTCTGCATGTCGCTGGCTTCCAAGGTGCACTCGAAACGGATCATGTACAACCCCCACTTCTCTCTGGCCGGGACAAAAGGCTTTGGCGGTATGAAGGCAGACATTGTGGTATTCTGCTGTGTACGGCTCGTCAGCCTGGCTGAATCCACTCTAGATAGCTCTTCTTCGGCTTGCTTCTCAGTGCCTCAATCCCACGTTTGTCGCCAATGTTAAGTTGGGCGTTTGAGGAGGCAGAAGCAAGGTAGTGGCAATAGCTCTTTAATGTATAGGGAGGCTTCAGCAAAAGTTACAGGCAAACAGCTCTCCTTATATACCCGGCCGGTCGGGGAGCTGACCAATCACAATTGACCTATTGTAGTTTAAATCTCCTGCCAAAACTTATATACATAACAACTTGAACAATGAATTTTATTTAAAGTAGAGGTGGAATCAGTTGTAGTTGCCATACCTCAGCCCATTTCCATATTTGTGTAACCATCATTCATTTTGGATCAACGTTGGTTTATGGCTCAGTAGGCTTGAAAAGGATTATATATTTTAAAAAGTATTTGTTGTTGATGTTGATTATAATAACATGTTTTAACAATAGGGATCTTTATGGTTTTTCACAATGCTTACCATTCATTTTCAACATTCAAATGGTCAACAAGAATTCCCAGCTCCTGCACAATCTCACACTTGGCTACAACATCCAAAGCAACCATTTGAGCACTTTCCACACTTCAGATGCCTTGATGGACATTCTCTCCACTGGAGAAGCCAATGTCCCCAACTACGGCTGTGGAAGGAAGGAGAACCTTCTGGCTCTTCTTGATGCAGCTGACAGGGACATCTCCATCCAGATGTCAACTTTAGTAGGCACCTACAAAGTCCCACAGGTTTGTGTGTGTTTTTCTCCTTCTGGTAAAGTGAGGGGTGGGTGGTGGTGGGTGAGCAATAGATGTAATCATGTCTTCTCCATGGAATTCAAGAGCTGCTTTTCTCCATATTAGCAAAAATGTCACTATTTTACCCCATTATCTTCATGTTGAGATTAATCATAAAAGGCCTGAAATACAAGCAATACGTTCCCTGGAGAAGACATTCTACCAACTATTTAACCGATCAAAAAATATCCCTGGTTGTTGGGGCCTCTATTGGCATCTTCATTTTCACATATAAATAATGCCTGCCCTATCCAGTTGGATTGAAGTTGGCAATAGCAGCAGCTCCATGCCTTAGGGCCGGGGTATCTGTGAGACCGCCTTCTGCCGCCAATAGCCTCCCACCGACCGGTTCACTCGCACAGAGAGGGCCTCTTCAGGGTGCCGTCGGCCAGACAGTGGCAGCTGGCGACCCCCAGGGGGAGAGCCTTCTCTGTGGCAGCACCTGCCCTCTGGAATGACCTACCCCCTGAGATACGCACGATATCAGACCTCCGGACTTTTCGTCGGGCCCTGAAAACACACTTTTTCCATCTAGCCGGGCTGGCTTGATCCCATCCTCTCAGTTTTAAATGAATTCAGTTTTAATTGGGTTGTTTTAAATTTTGGGCCAAAATTATTTAATTGTTTTTTAAACTGTTTTTAAATTTTATATGCTATGTTTTATCTCGGCTGTACACTGCCCTGAGTCCCGCAGGAGAAGGATGGTATAAAAATAAAATAAAATAAAATAAAATAAATAAATAAATAAATAAATAAATAAATAAACAAACAAATAAATAAATAAATAAATAAATAAATAAATTTTAACTACCTAGAATGAGGAATAAAAAGGACTCTAGCAACTATAGACTAAATAGAGTAGAAGATATTGTGGCTAAAATTTATGTCATGATCCTCTTAGTTAAATCTGAGAAAAATGCATTCCATGCAGAAGAACCAGAAAGTTTTAGGTAGAGTAAAAAGCCATACAGATTTTATAAGAAATAATGCATAAATTAATAATTTAATATTAGCAACAAATTTGTCCTGAAATATCTCATCTATATCAGTGAAGTAAAACAAGGTTTGCAGGCTTTGTAGATGTTAGTGCAGCATTTGACTCAATAAACAGAGAAATGTGATGGAGAAAATTGATAGGCTTCAAAATGGAGCTCAGCCTGTTGGCCCTGATCCAAGCCCTTGTTTGAGAGGGAGGTTTGGGTTCAATGGAGCCATGAGAAGAAGGATCTATGCTTACCAAGGGGGAAGGGAAGGGTGCATATCTGAACCCTTGTTATTCAGTCTAGATATGAATGACTTACTAGGACTAACACAAGATCAAAAAACAGATCATAAATAAAAGTTATTTAATTCTTTGACAAAAATGACTAAATTAGTGGACCAATGAAATGCAGTGCACGTAGTATACAGTACTTGGATTTCAGAAAGGCTTTGACAAAGTAAACCACAACCTATTTCTCGGGAAGCTGAAAATATGTGGGATGGACAGCATCACCCCCAGATGGAGTCAGCCTGTGGTCCTCAATGGAACTACGTCTGCATGGAGGGAAACAAGCAGTGGGGGACCCCAAGGTTCCATTTTAGGCTTAGTTCTCTTCAACGTCTTCATGAATGATTTGGATGAGGGGAGAAGAGGGGAAATCATCAAATTTGAAGACAACACTAAAGTGGCAGGAATAGCCAACACCCCAGAAGATAGGCTGAAGATCCAGATGGATCTAGTTAGACTTGAACCCTGGGCCTATCTAACAAACTGTAATTCATTGTAGAGAAAAGTAAGGTTTTATACTTAGGCTAGAAAAACCAAATGTCCACTTACAGATGAGGTGAAACCTGGCTCCATAGCAGTAACTGTGAGAGGAACTTGGAGTCCTAGTGGACAATCACTTAAGTATGAGCCAGCAATCTGTGGCAGCAGCCAAAAAAGCCATTGCAATTCTAGGTTGCATTAACAGAGGGATAAAATCAAGATCACATGAATTATTGGTACTGCTTCATAATGCCTTGGCAAGACCACACTCGGAATAGTGCATCCAGTTTTAGTCTCCATATTATAAAAAAGATGTAGAGACTCTGGAAAGAGTGCAGAAAAGATGATTAAGGGCCTGGAGACTAAAACATATGAGGAACAGTTGCAGGAATTCAGGATGTCTAGTCTAGTGAAAAGGATGAGGGGTGACATCATAGCAATGTACCAATATTTGAGAGGTCCACCTATTTCCGAACAAGAAAAGAAATAATGGATCAGTAATCAAGGAGAGAAACAACCTAGAACTAAGGAGAAATTTCCTAATGGTGAGGAATGGAACGTCTCCCCTTCAGAAATTGTGGGTGGTCCATCACTGGAGGCTTTGAAGAAGAGACTGGAGGGCAACTTGTCTGGAATAGTATAGATAGATACAGATTAACAGAGTTGGAAGGGACCTTGTAGGTCATCTAGTCCAAGCAGACCCTACACCATTTCTGACAGATGACGGTCCAGTCTCTTCTTGAAAGCTTCCAGTGATGAAGCTCCCACAACTTCTGAAGGCAACTTTATCTCTTTATTTCCAGGTTGAATCTCTCCTTGCTCAGTTTCCATCCATTATTCCTTGCCGGCCATTGGGTGCTTTGGAAAATAGCTTGACCCCCTCCTCTCTGTGGCAGCCCCTCAAATATTGGAAGACTGCTATCATGTCTTCCCTGGTCCTTCTCTTCACTAGTCCAGCCATGCCCAGTTCCTGCAACCGTTCATTGTATGTTTTAGCCTCCAGTCCCATAATCCTCTTGGTTGCTCTTCTCTGCACTTTTTCTAGAGTCTCAACATCTTTTTTATAGTGTGGTGACCAAAACTGGATGCAGTATTCTAGTTGTGGTCTTACTAAGGTTTTATAGGGTGGTATTAGTACCTCTCTTCATCTTGATTGTATCTCTCTGTTAATGCAATTTAGAATTGCATTGGCTTTTTTGGCTGCTGCTGCACACTCTTCACTCATATTTAATTGGTTGTCCACGAAGACTCCAGGATCCCTCTCACAGTTACTGATACTATGCCTGGTTTACTGCTTGAACAGGGGGTTAGACTAGAAGACCTCCAAGGTCCCTTCCAACCCTTTTATTTTGTTATAAATTCTGTTATAGGTACATGTGTTTAGCCTGCTAAGTTTCTATTGGAATACACCGATTTATACAGATAATGTGATATTATCATACTTAGACATTGGATTGTATAGATTTGGATTGTTTTGTCATAATAATTATCTGATAATTTATAAGCAAGTTCAAAAGTTAGGGTCTTTGTGAAATGACATCATAGCCATAGATGGTCAGCCAATAGAGCAAGTAACACCTTTCCTTACCTGGGGTTGTTTTCTCTGAGCCTGAATCTTGGCTCCCTCATCATCCAAGGAGCTCAGTTAGAGAAAGGGCAGGAGTGAAAGTAGTGCTTAAATGAAAACCTCATAGCTCTCCAGCTTCCTCAGCCCCAGTTATTAAAGGATCTGAGTCCCAGTTTTCCCCCATGTTCTTCCATCAATCTGATGTTTGGGGCTTCAGAGAGAAACCACCAGCAGAACCAACCCAATCTCAGCCTCTGAGGAGGATCTTGGGGTGGCTAAAAGGACTCCAGCTGCTGCCCTCAGAGCTGATTTGGGAATTTACACAATTTTTGCTTTCTCTAAATTCAGAAAATATGGGCATTGGCATAAAATTTAACATATGGAAACTGACAGACTCTGAAAATTGTGGCTCTTGGAACAGACAAAACTTCAATCAAAGACCAAACTTGGATTATGCAACTGACAAATCTTATTAGGCTTTGAGGTCTGCCTGTTTCTTGTATAACTGGAGAAAGAAGTTAAAAAATTTTCTCCAAAAAGAATCTGGGATAGAGAAGCAAAAAAAGATGCAGCAATCCTCGAAAATTATAATAGGCCCTTTATTGGAATAGAATATTCCAGTTGGCATTTGCACGTGTTAATCTAATTGTGATAAATTGTAGGGGTGATACAGTAATACGATTTGCATTTTTATTGTTTTTTAATTTGCTTATTATTTTCCATTATTATGATACAATCTTGCTAATATTCTGTCTTTAATATTTTAAACAATGTCTGATTAACAAACTATTCTAATACATTCATGAGAACGAGGTTGGATTTATTAAAATCTAATATTTTGGACTTGACCTGATGCCAAATATGACACATCATTCTTCATTTGTTTTTCAGATCAGTCATGACATTGTTTCAGAGACTCTGAGTGATAAAAGGAAATTCCCCCTTTTCTACTGGATGTTCCCCAAAGACGGATTCCAGTACCCAGCAATTGTCCACCTGCTCCTCCATTTCAGATGGACCCTGATTGGCCTCTTTGCTTCAGACACAGAGAAGGGAGAGAATTTCATGAGGATTTTCCCTCCTGTGCTTGTCAGGAAAGGAATTTATGTTGTTATATCACAACTGTTCTCAACAACTGGATATACAGCATACCTCAGGGATTCCCTCTCTAAGTGGAGAAAAGTCAACGTCTTTGTTCACTTCATGGAATATGAGTCCATTTGGGACAGAATTCTTCCTTTCCATTTAACGTTTATGCGTCTGCCAGGACCCATTGAAGGGAAAGTCTGGATCCTCACAACTTTTGCAGGGTCTAGAATGAACAAGCGTAGACTTCTCAAATACATCCATAGTATTTGGAACTTTGGTTATCTGTTAAAAAAAAGGCCAAAAGATTCTGCCTTTGAACCCCATTTCTTTGTGGAAGAAAAGTTTCAAGATCCTTATTTTCTCTGTTCTTTTTCAAAGAACATCTTTTCTGTCAAAGGCCGCAGAAGATGTACCCAGAAAGCCCCACTGGAGACCCAGGAGAAATGGAACAGAAGAGGGATACTAAATTACTATCAATATTACAGTATCATGAAGACTCTGGTCCAGGCCTTGAATGCCGCTTATTCCTCCAGATGGAGGAGGAGAAGGAAGGAGAGAGAAAAGAGTTTGGGGTCTCCAAGGCTGCAGCCGTGGCAGGTATGGAATCCCTATATGGATCCATTAATCTTAGATCCTTTGGAGGAGGAATCCAGAGGAGAAGGAGGCGAATCTTCTCAACAGATCTGGCCAATATAATTGCTCAGGGAATAATGGTCCCAAAGAGTAGATACCATGGCATTTTAATATTAAACACTGCTCATTTGAAAATGCTATATTCTTTTTTGAAATAAATTCCCGTATTTGTGGGTTTGTGATTAGCATGGTGGAATTTCCCCTTTGTTCCGTCCCCACTGCAGGTGGGTCTGTCTGCAGCTCAACAGTCAGCTAAACCCCCCTCTTCTCCTCCAGTGAAAGGGAGCCTGGGGTGGATCTGGGTGTTTCATTGGGAGAAAAGGGCACGGAGAAACTGAGGAAATGCAAAGAGTGAGAGTCAAATATAAATAGGAGATAGGCAGCTTTAACTAACAGCCAACAAAGAAGCAGCTGGAACCTCTCCAGCGATGCTCCATGTCAGGGACGGAGGCCTCCGGATGACCAGGTGTCTCGGTCAAACCGGCTGCTTCCGTCTCCTCCAAAGGCTGAGAGAAAAGGGAGTCTGGCTTCAGACCATACAGTTAGGCTTATCTGCCTCCGGCCACTAGGTGGGGCTAGAGCAACAAAAGCACAATAGATACATGTTGTGGCATGACAACCTTCATAAATTTGGAGGAGACCCTGAGACCATCTAGCCCAACCCCTCCTCTCTGCAGGAATCCCAGTTAAAGCTTCTCTGACTGATGGCTGCTCAGTCTTTGCACTCAGATAATGCATGAAGAGGAGACTGAACTTCTCTGCTTTACTGGCTCAGCTCTAAAACAGCTCATCCTTTTTGTTACAGCAAGCCGGCAGCTATGTGGCAAGGACGCAAAGCTGATTGGTCCGCCGGCATAGCAACTAACTGGCGGGATAGCAGAACATGTTTATTGGCCGAGACGCTGACAGGTCTGCTATAAAAGAGCTGTCAGCGCTGAGGAAACTGCTTGCTCACCAGTGTTAGAAGTAAGGAACGAGTCATGGTTAGACTTTACTGTTGTGAATAAAGATCTGTTAATTGTTAACCCACAATGCCTCCGTCATTATTGTTAACCTTTACAATACTTTTATCATATTTTTTTCTTTCATTTAGCTAAAATCTCCTCTCTTGTAACTGAATTCATTTTTCCGTGTCTGACACTCTGGAATGATAGTGAGCAGATCTTACGCTCGTGTGTAACCTGTGTCAGTGATTGGAAGAGGGCTGCATCCTCCCTTCTCCAACCGAGAGATTGTGTCAGTTGGAAAAGGGGCTCCCAGACTCCTCCTGATCTTCAGCTCTTCTCCTTCTTCTCTTTCCTCAAGGCTAAGAGCAGCTCCTTTGATCTCTTCCTTGGCTTCATTGTCCTTCCCTGAAGTTTACATAGATTTTGTGCAAATTCTCCTCCAAGAGTGGTGCCTGCAAGGGGACCTGGTCCTTGAGTTGGGGTCTCCCCTAACCAGAATATTCACTTCCTGAGATTCTTATGGCTGCATTTGCCTTCTTCCCATGAACATCTCCCTGCTGACTCAGATTCTGTTTCCCGTTAACTACGATTTTGAGATCATTTCCACAAACATGCATATCAAGTTTGGTATCCCTCATCTTTCTTCTAGTCCATCATTCATGTTCTTATAGGAGACTCTATTGTTACTCAAGTCTTAATTGCTAAAAATCAGATTTTTTCTATTGCTTTTTATTCATGTACCCTTCTCTATGTGCTAATGATAAATATTGTTTCTGGAAACTTGATATTCCTCTTATTAAATTTTATTTTATTCAAAATGGTAAAATACAAACTTCAAAAAATAAAACTATTACAAAGACAAAACAAAATTAGATGAAACATTTTTTAAATTGTGCATTAAAAACAGACAAAAACATGTATATTGTCCCCCCAGTTGAATACAATACAGCAATAATAGTTTCTCCCCCTTGCAAAATTGGCCCACAATTATAAACTACACATCTATCATCTATCTGCTGTATATAAAAAACGTAGTTAACAGGCAATCCAACAATAAAGTTAAATTTCAAAACTTCAAAATGGTCTATCTGCTATTGTTTGCAATGCTTAATGCATTGTAAGCTGCCCCCAGTCTCTGGAGAAGGGTGGCATATAAATCTAACTAATAAATAAATAAATAAATAAATATTGTATTTAACTCACAGAAAATTTACAGGAGCTTCTTATCTACCACAGACCACCATAATCATCATCTCTGATCCATTCAGAATCCATCCAGGGTTAAACATCTTTGTTTGTTTCTTAATAATAATGCATTTCCTTAAAATTTTAATTAGGATCTTTCCCAGTAACTGCTTTCCATTCCCCAAAGTCACAGGACCTCCTGTAAATTGAAACACAAAGACTCTTAAGACTTCTTTTTCCAGTTAAGTATGATAAATCCATTCTCCAATCTCCCTCAGCCTTCTTGAAAGAATCCATTTCATCAGTCATCCGTTCTGCCCACTTTGAGTCTTCAGGGTCCATGGCCTCTCCAGCCATCTCCAAACAGCCTGCCTTCAAAACAAACTCCTTCAGGGATGCCAGCAGCAAATTAAGTTCCAGTCCATCCGACCATCCAATCCATCCAATTCAACAATTGTAGCTTGCTTCTGATTATCGCCTTTGATTTAAAACCATTGTTATTTTATCAAACCTTTTAAATGAAGTTTCAAATAAGGCTTATAAGTTGAAAGACTTTATATTCTTTAAATCACATCAAATTAGCTTATTCTAAGATCGTATTAATTACCATATTAATGACAACATAGAAAAATTGATGACCAATGGCAAATTGTTATCCATCACCTTCAGGTTTCCTAGGAAAGATTAAAAAGGGTTAAAAACTATTTGAGTATCATTTTTTTGAATCAAGTTTTATTGATTCCCCCCCCCACATTCACCCACATCTTTTTTTGAACAGAGAATTGGCCTTATCTTATCTTATACAATTTTTCAAGTTCAAATACATTTTACTCAATTACAATTTTTGCCAAAATCTTCCTTTTTTCCCTATTTTTCTTTAATTCATATCTCAATATTTATATATTTATTTATATAAACAACATCTTCATTAGCTCTCAAATTCTAATTTTCCTGTTTGTTCACATTTATTCTTTTATTTTTTAACAATTTCTTCTTTATTTTCATATATTCATATGTGTGTTTGGCGTTTTCTTTCTTCCATTTCCTCTTTTTTGTTATACAGCAATCTTCCTTCTCAGTCTCTTCCCTCTCCCTCTCCCTCTCCTCCCTCCTTCTAACTTTCTTTCCCTCTTCTCCTGCTCCTAAAAACTATTTGAGTATCATTTTGAAGACAGTTTTTATCCACTTACTATCCAGGCCTCAGGTTTCTAATCACATCACAAAATTGTTTGTGAGTCCTTTACTGAAATCCAGTGATATCACCAGTCTTTCCATAATCTATTTAGGAAGTGCAATGATGTGTGAGAATGACTTTTGGGATGAGGGGAAGAGAGGCTGCCTAGGGAAGGATCAGAGAAGAGGGGAGAATCCTGCAGCTGCATAATGGGAGAGAAAGAAACTCAGAAAGGATCCTGGCTAACTTTTCAGGCTGAGAAAAGAGTTGGTGGGAGATTTGTTCTTTCAGATCTGCAAAATGTTGTTAATGTCACATTACAATTAAGTAGAATTAGGACATCTGGAGGTGTTTTCCATCGGGATGACCAGGGAGAAGATTTGCCTGACAACTTTCTCCTGGATAATCCCATGTTTCTGGGAATCAACCTGTTGTTTTCAAAGAGTTTATGAATGATTTTTTTTTCTCTGTTCATTTTATTTGTCATCTGCTCTAGAATGTTCCCTATATTTGACCAATTGTATCAATTATATACTTTTTCTATATTTTGACAGTAAATGATTGACAAATTTTTCTCAAACTTTCTTGTTCACTTATGAAGATGATGACAGTATTTGTATCCTAATTAAGCATATTTGGAGTTTAGACAATTGTAGAAGAAAGATTCAATGTGGGATAAGAAACAAAGTTCTCTGTTTTTCAAATTCCTGGATGTTCCCATTCTAGTTTCATCCCTTTCTGGAGAAGAATGAATTTTGGAATATTTCTGACAGAAAACTGTACTTGGAGCAAAATGGAGAGATAACAGCAGATGTGGGCATTCAGGCCTCCTTGGTTCTCCCCAAGGAGTATATCAGGAAAGAAGCTCTGGCGTATTTTGAAAGACAGAGATTTACTGTCAGAGAAAGTGGTCTTTCACTGCTAAAGTTGCTCAATAAGGTGGGAGAAATTTTGGTGTCTTTTCTCTGTTTTCCAAAGGTCCCATTTCAAGTGGGCAAAGCCTAGAGACTCCAGGGTGGTTGGCCTCCCATGCCAGGTGGTGTCATCTCATGGAAGCTCTTCAATAGACGGGACCTAAGTGGAGTGGCGTTGCCATGTTTTATGGAAACCTTTCAAGATCTTACTGGTCACAGTTTAATTTCATATTAAAAAACCTAATAGAATAAAATTTCCTAAATCTTTTACAGTAAACTTTATTATCAGTTTTAATAAGAATATATCATCATATTTAAAACTTTTTTCACCTCCATCCCTCTAGACTACATTAAATAGAAAAGTATCTTATTATAATGTTAAATTCCAAAAGCAAAAGGGAGGAACTACATTAAGAATCTGCTAATTGTACCTCCTGCATCTGTTTAGAAGTAGTCATAGCTTTCGTATTTACCTCAGTGAAGACCAGAGGCTACTTGTCTCCATCCATTTCTCCCTCCATTTTCCATGGATGGAGAGTCCTAACATCTTTTCTTTGGCATTCTTTGTTTTTCTGCTCAGTCCCTGCCTCAGTCCAAATGTGTGGAAAGTTGTCATCCTGGATTTGTCAAGAGGGCTCGAGAAGGAGAGCCAGTTTGCTGCTACGACTGCCTTCCTTGTCCGGAGGGGACCTTCTCCACTCAGGAAGGTGGGTCACACTGAGGAAAACGGGAGGCTTTGTGGAACTGGATCCATCCAGAACCTTTTCATGAAAGTGCAAGTTAAAAGACAGATCAAAGCTCACATGGGTTTTTTTATTTTTAACCTGCACAATTTCTTATCTAAACAAAAGTAAATCAAAAAGACTTGGAAGGAGCGGCTGGGAAAGAGATGGGAGGAGGGGGAGGCAGACTGGCCAAGCTTTACTAACAGCAGAGGAAATATCTCTTCTGCTTTTTAGTTTAGACATGTGTTGTTAAGTTTCTAGGAACATCTGAGATCTTTGAAAGTAGCTGAATTGTTTCTTTTTTTTTTTATAAATACTTTATTGAATTTTTCCATAATAAAAGGATAATATACAATCTCTATTTTGATCAGAGGTACAGTGTTTATACAATTTGGTGAATCATACGTTAAATAAATTCCATCCTTAGCTATACAATGTTCTACGCAATATAAGTCAAATTCAAGTGCATAAGAAGTCATATCCTACAATCATACTTTTATTTTGTTCTTCAACCAGTTATACCAATTTCCCCATACTTCATAATATTTAGAATTCTCCTCATTTTTTAACTCGCTCCTCAATTTTGCCATTTCTGCGCACTCTAGAATTTTATTTATTAATATTTCTTCTGAGGGCGTAGATTTAATTTTCCAGAGTTTCGCAAAGGCTAGTCTAGCCGCAGTTGTAATCTGAATTATGAGTTGCGTTTTGTTATTATTAAGGCCATCTTCAGTCATACCCAAGAGGAAGGATTCTGGGGCTAGGACTATCTCCTGTCCCGTTATTTCAGAAAGCCAGAGTCGAATCTTTGACCAGAACTTTTTGGTCTCAGGACAGGTCCACCATAGATGATAGAAGGTACCGACCATTTTTCCACATTTCCAACACGTGGCTGGGAGATTTGGGAATATTTTCGCTAACCTAGCCGGGGCTAGGTACCACCTGTGTAACATTTTATAGTGGTTTTCTCTGAATGTTGCCGATTTCGTTATTTTGTAGTTCCTATTCCAGGCCATCTCCCAGTCGTTAAAATTAAGTCTATATCCCAGGTTTTTTTCCCAAATATTTAGCTGATTTTTTGCTATGGTCTCTGCTCTATCCTCATCTAGTAGGAAGTTATAGATTTTCGATAGCATTTTCTTGTGCTTGTTCGATAGCATTTTCACCCCCACACCCCAGACCACCCCAACGATGCCCTTGAAGTGATGTCCCGGTGCCTGGAGGCCGTACGGATCTGGATGGGGAGAAACAGGCTCAGGCTCAACCCATCCAAGACTGAGTGGCTGTGGTTTCCGACGTCCCGATATAGTCAGCTGGTGCCATCGCTGACTATTGGGGGTGAAGCATTGGCCCCCACGGAGAGGGTTCGCAACTTGGATGTCCTCCTGGATTCACGGCTGTCTTTAGAAGAGCACTTGACGGCCATGACTGGGAGGATTTTTCATCAGGTCCTCCTGATTCGCCAGTTGCGTCCCTTTCTGGAACGGGACTCGTTACGCACGGTCACTCATGCCCTCGTCACCTCCCGTCTGGACTATTGTAACGCTCTCTACATGGGGCTCCCCTTGAGGAGCACTCGGAGGCTCCAACTGGCGCAGAGTGCGGCCGCGCGGGTGGTGATGGGAGCGACGTGGCGCTCCCATGTAACGCCTCTCCTGCGCGAGCTGCACTGGCTCCTGGTGGTCTTCCGAGTGCGCTTCAAGGTCTTGGTTATCACCTTCAGAGCGCTCCATGGCTTAGGACCTGGCTATTTACGGGACCGCCTGCTGCCACCAATAGCCTCCCACCGACCAGTACGCTCCCATAGAGAGGGGCTTCTCCGGGTGCCGTCGGCCAAACAATGTCGACTGGTGGCCCCCAGGGGGAGAGCCTTCTCTGTGGGGGCACCTACAATCTGGAACGAGCTCCCCCCGGAGATACGGAGGATTCCGGATCTGCGTACCTTCCGTCGCGCGCTTAAGACATTTTTATTCCATCAAGCTGGCCTGACCTAAACTTTTCCTCTTTTTAAATGGAATTTTAAATTTGGTTTTAATTTATTGGGGTTTTAAAATGTCTCAGCCAAATTTATTTAATTAGTTTTATCTTTATTTTAAATTTTGTATCTATATGTTTTATTTATGGCTGTTCACCGCCCTGAGTCCTTCGGGAGTAGGGCGGTATACAAATTTAATAAAATGAAAATGAAAATGAAAATAATTTTATCAAAATTTCCATATTTCGCTTCAATACCAAATTTATCTCTATCTTTTTGAAATCTGGAATTTATCTGAAGATAGTTCCACCAATCCAAGTTGAACCCCTGGTCCCTCAATAAATCCAAAGGTTTGAGCTTCCCTTCTTCATCAAGAATGTCCTTATATGTGCCCAATTTATAATCGTCTCTCCTGTTTGGGGCCACTAAAGCTTCCATAATAGACAGCCAGCTAGGTACCTTGGTATAAATCCTCTGTCTAATTTCCTCCCACGTACGAATAAGAGTTTCCCTAATTTTGTGTTTATGAAAGTAAGATTTTCTCTTGTTCTTTGTATCCCACAGGTGAGCATGCCATCCTTCTAGGAGATCATGTCCTTCTAGTGTCAGAATTCTCCTATCTTGTAGCTTGATCCACTCCTTAATCCAGATCATTTTTGCCGCCTTTTGATATAGTTCCCAATCAGGGAGCCCAAACCCTCCCAGATTTCTTTTCCCTTGAAGTGTCTTAAAAGAAATCCTCAATTTCTTGCCCTCCCACAGGAAGTTTCTAATATGTTTGTTCAAGTCCAGAAAGAATTTCTTATCTAATGATATCGGAATGTTTTGGAATAGGAACAAAATTTTAGGTAAGATGTTCATTTTAATTGCTGCAATTTTACCAATCAGAGACAATTTTAGCCTTTTCCATCTTTCAAGATCTTGATGTATTTTCTGCAATAGGGGGATATAGTTATCGTCTTTTAATGAGGAGAATCTCGCAGTAATCCATATTCCCAAATATTTTATTTTCTTAACTGCCTGGAGGCCTAATAAATCTTCCAATTGTTTCTTTTGTAGATCTGTCATGTTTTTCACTATTATTTTAGTTTTATTCTTATTGAGTTTAAGGCCCGCCACTTCTCCATAATCCTGTATTTCCTGCATTAATTTTAAACCGGTTTCTAATGGATCTTCTATTATGAGGGCAATGTCGTCAGCAAAAGCTTGGGTTTTGAATGTTTCCTTCCTAATCTTTAAACCTTTAATATCTTTATTAGCTCTAATCTTTCTAAGTAGCACCTCTAGCGCCAAAATATAAAGTAAGGGAGATAGGGGGCATCCCTGCCTCACTCCTTTTTGGATCTGAAATACCTGAGTTCTGTCTCCATTCACTAATATGTTTGCCCTCTGGTTTTGGTAAATATTCTCGATCATCTTCCTAAAGTTAGTCCCGAATCCCATTAGGTCAATTTGATTTATCATAAAGGTCCAATTCAAATTGTCGAATGCCTTTTGGGCATCGACGAACATTAAGGCCAGCTGTTTTTCAGGGTGTTGTTCATAATATTCTATGGTGTTTAAAACTATTCTCAAGTTGTCTCTGATCTGTCTCCCTGGGAGAAAACAGCTGGCAAAATGGGCACATAATGAAATATGCATGCTAGGGGACTTTAATGGAATTGTGGATCCAAAGCACGATTATAAATGTGACATAACTAAAAAGAATAAAAGAGCTCCCTTACCAAAGACCTTTTTTGACTTGGTGGATGAGATAAATCTAATAGATATGTGGCGTACCTTACACCCCCAGGATAGACAATTTACTTTTTATTCAATGCCACAAAACTCTTGGTCTAGAATAGATATGGTCTGGGCTACCAGAAAACTGGGTCTAGAAATTAAAAAGGTTAATATGTGCACTAATGCTTGGGCAGACCATAAGCTTCTTGAAATTAGTTGGCATCACAACACTAAGAAAATACAACAGAGATGGAGTTTAAGGACTAACTTGCTAAATGAAAAAGAGTTTACACTTAAATTGAATGAAGAAGTCAAACGCTTCTTCATAGAAAACGGGAATCAAGAGACAGCCAAAGAAATTGTGTGGGACACCATGAAGGCTTATGTGAGAGGGGTAGCCATCTCATATACCACCTTCAAAAATAAGGAAAAAAGAAAGATCAGAGAAGAGCTCACCAAAAAGCTATTGTCAGGTTTCGGTGCTATCTTGAATAAACTTCATTCTCAAGTGCAAACTGTCTAATGAATCATTTTTATTTTAAGGATAGCAATATCCGACATTTCTGATTCAAATTGCAGCCAAACTGGCCCCTCCTTCCAACCCCCTCCTCTTCCGCTCTCCAACCCCAATGTCCCATTGGCCATCATACAGATCCATCTCTACATCCCGGCACGTTCTTTTCACAGGAATGTAGCCCCCATCCTTGTCTCCCAGGAAACACTATCTGTAACATACAAAACTAGGTAAAAGTTCATCTTGTTATGTCAGCGCTGGAAGAAAGCCTAATTTGGAACGTTGACAGCTATTACAAGCTGAAGATGAACTCCAGCAATGCCCGGGAGATGAGGCGATTAAACAACAGTGGTCGATGATGAGACATAGATTGAATTATTATTATTATTATTATTATTATTTTATTTCTATACCGCCCTTCTCCCGAAGGACTCAGGGCGGTGTACAGCCTAATTAAAAAACAGAATAAACATCAATTTAAAATAATTTAAAAATATTAAATAAATTTGGCTTAATTTAAAACCCCCAAAATTTAAAACATCCAATTTAAAATTATATTGCTAACCCAGCCTGGCGGAACAATAGGGTCTTTTTTTTTTTTTTTTTTTTTTTGCATCTTTCCCCTGCCACGCCCACCAAGCCACACCCACCAAGCCACACCACGCCCACCAAGCCATGCCCACAGAACTGGTAGTAAAAAAATTTGGATTTCACCACTGACCCCAACTCTTTCCATCCCTCCCTTTCTGCCCTCACCCATTACCATAGCCTCAAAGTGAGACCCC